CACAATGGCTTTAAATCCTCCTTTTTGTTGAGTCTACAGTTATATCCCCTCCCCCAAAATAATGAAATGCAAAGACAGAAAATAAACACCATGCAGGGAAATCCAACCCTGCTGTGGACTAAAGTCCCTTGGAACAGTCCAAACTTCAAAAGTAGCCTCAACCTGGAACTTTTCCATAGGACAAGTCAGCAGTAAATATTGACACCAGAGGCAGTCATCTCTCTTGAATTCCGGACTGCTCCAGTCAGCCGGGGCAGCCAGGTCGCAGGTGACAAGGATAAGACAGCTACCCTCAGAAAGAATTGTCATCTTGAAGAGAGAAGCAGTAGACAGGCCATCTCCTGCCTCTGGGTCACAGTTCTCAAGATGGAGCAGGCAATGCTGCAGACTCTTGTTCTGTTGGCACTGGGAATGCACTACCCATGTGTCTCAGGTAAAGGACACACTCAGCCACCTGCTCTAGGTGACTGCAGCCCCCTCAATGTTTTATCGCCTCTTACTGCGTCCTGTGTTCTTGCTGTCCAGGTTTCCCGGTGTACGACTTCGACCCTTCCTCCTTGCAGGAAGCCCTCAAGGCCTCGGTGGCAAAGGTGAACTCCCAATCCCTGAGTCCTTACCTGTTTCAGGCCACCCGGAACTCCTTAAAGAGAGTGAGTCAATGGGGACACCCCCCACCCCTGTGCCTTCTTTACTATATCTTGTCTTTGCTTATTTTGTTGAATAGATCATTTTTTAAATTCTTTTTACAAAGATCTCAGCCCATTCTTTTTCATGCTGACTGTTTCAGAGAAGAGATTTTAATTATAGTTTGTGCCCTGAGGTTCTCAAAGCTTCTTGGGACATCTGATTCTTCCTTATGTGTTTTCCCTGTGATCTTGGCTTCTCTGTGTGCTCAAAGCTTCTTGGGACATCTGATTCTTCCTTATGTGTTTTCCCTGTGACCTTGGCTTCTCTCTGTGTGTGTGTGTCCTGGTTTGGGGTAAAGAGCCCTGAAGCCTCCTGGCTCCTAGGATGCTCTTGGACTGGGAGGAGCTGCTCTAACATGGAGCCTCTCTTCCCACTCAGCATTGGGCCCCCAGTGTTTATAGGGAAGAAGCCCTGGCTTCGGAGCCAAAGAAACCCACCCACCTTTTTCAACTTCATAGTGCTGTTTCCTGATCACCCGAGAACTGGGGGAGGTGACATTAATTTGGGCTTGCTGTGATTCGGTGTAGCAAAAATGAGGGGGAAATGGAGAATATCCTAGAGGAACCTCTCTGCTTCCTGACCGCCCACCAGGATTCCACTGTCTTATCAGCTTAATGAGGTTCAGGGGGAGGTAGGGACAGGAAACTGATGTTTATGCTAAAGATGAGGAAGAAACAGGGCAGCCAGGCTCATGGGGACAAGGGTGGAGTCACATGGCCACATGTCCAGGCAGCCACCACCACCATGTAGAGACTGCCACCACAGTCTGTATGGCTTTCTTGCTTCTCCATCCTATTCACGACCTCTCACACTTAGCTGCTCCTCTGCTACTCATCGGAGTCCACATTCACTTTCCCGGCTTGCCTTCCTGTAGACCAAGCCCCTTTGCCTGCCCCTTTCAGACACTGGCTCCATGTTTTCTTTTCCAAATACACAGCAAATTCATCCATCAGCTTCTGTTGCCTTTTCTAGCTGGGCATGGTCATGAGGACGTGGGCTCAGCCATAGTGAGGCACCAGTCCCAGGACGCGGCTGTCAAGGTTGGCACCGAGCACTGTTGTGGGGAGGAACTTGGAGGTGGGTGTAGGCAGCTGCCAGCCAAACTGCTTCTGGAAGCAAGCTACATCAAATTGAAACTGCTGCGTTTGCTGGCATCCAGGCCATGCATGCTCCATTGGCACGGGATGCCATTCTCTTAGAGTGTTGTCGAACCCACATCCTCTTGCCAAACTTGGAGACCAACAGTTTAAATTCACTTGTAATTTAGCTACTGCTCACTACAGAACAAAGCAATTCATTAAAGAGGAGCACAGGGCTGACATATAGCCATCTTGGTATAGCCATGTAGGCCTGACCCCAGACCCATGTATCTAGAGATAAGCCATTTGCAGGTGACTTTCGAGCTCCTAACAGAACTTAATGTGACACTTGCTGTCTCGGTGTGTTGCTCTCCCACCTCGAGCTCACCTGCCTGTTCTTGCTACTCCTTTGCTCTCCCCATCATATTGGTCCAGCGGCATTCTCCATGCTCTCTCCTTGGGCGCTGCATTCCACGATGTTGCAGGAAATGCACCTGGGACCACTGAAGTTCCTGCAAAACTATGGAACACAAGTGGCCTTTACACTGCTCCTCAGTATCAGTATCGTGTTTCTCGTCTGTGAGGAAGACCTCCTCAGGCTTCCTCTCTAGTCAGATTGCCTATTCTCACTACACCCCTTACAACCCCATCAGGAAACTAAGATGTCTGACTGAAGGAACAGGATGCAGCCAAGTGCTGAAGGCTTCCTTTCAGCCACTTGCAGTCAAATGGGAGGAGAGCTAGTCAGTATAAAGACAGAGTAAGTAATTCCAAGAGAAGCTGAATAAAAGGTCCTGGAAACCCAGCCCTCTAGCCTGGTTGTGGGAAGAATTAAAAGTGTGTTTGAGATAGAATCCTAAGGGTATGACCAAGTGGATGCTGGCAACAGAAATTACTGTGGGTAGACAGAAGAGCCTGGGTCGCCTCTTTACTCTGTAAAAGGCTTCCCAAGGCTGACAGACTACAGTTTGTCTGACATTCCCCATCTCCCAACCTTGCAGTAAATGACTCTACCCTGAAGCAAGGGTCAGACTTTGTCCAGGGAGACTGGACTCTGGGCTTTCCTCAGACAACAATCCTTATCCGTAGAGTCTCCGCTTGTATCTTCTCTCTTCTGGAAGGTTCTTCTGGGTCTTTTTTTAATACCACAGCTACTTTCTCTCTTCTCTCCCATTATCATGGGCTTGCTGTCATTCTTCAGCACAAACTTCCCAAATGGTCTTGTTTAATTTTTTTTTAAAACATTGTGGAGTGGTACCCACTCTGGAATCACATCTGGCTGACATTTTTACTGTCCTGCCTCAGGTGCCCAGTGCACAGGGAGGAGCTTGCTATAGCACAAGCTCCTGTCCTAAGACCACACAGGTTCTTCAGGAAGTTTGACAGGTTCCCTGGTATGCCACCATTGCAGAAAATGTTTCAGATTTAGTCATAGGTCAAAAGTGTTCAACCAGGAGACATCCTGTGGCTCATTTACTCATTTTAGGAACTGGTGAATGTGTATGGTGCCTTCATTAAGAAAATGTCAATTCAAGTCCATGCAATCTATTCTTGCTGTTTTCCAGACTGAACTGGCAGAGACCAGATCATGGCTCCTAGGACAGATTCAGAATGAGGTTCCCAAGAGTTTTGGGGCACAATATTTTCATTGACACTTTCACTATATACCCTTATTTTGTGAGGTTTGTTTTTTTAAGCTCATTGGTACCTAATATAATATACATTGTACACTCATTAACAATAAACTTACTGCCCAGAAACATGGGATTCCCACCCAAAGAAGTCTTACTGAATGTGTGTGTCTTCTACATAAGGCACATCATGGTCTCTTATCCTTGATGCCTGGCAGCCCTTAGCACTAGCCTGGGGACACAAAGAAAGCGCCAAATGACAATTACAAGTTTTCCAACAGAACACAAGCAGCGTGTTCACAGTGCACAGGCTGGACGAAGGCAGAGCACCCCCACCTCTTCCTTCCCTTTAGTTGGGGACATGCACACTGGGTGACCCAAAGCTTTGCTACTTTGCATGTGTTCATGAGCAATGGAAAAATCTAGGTGACTAATTTAGGAGTTGCAAATAATATTTGGTGACTAGGTGAGTTCACATGGACTCTATGTAGAAGGAATTGCCAATGTAAATCTTTAGAAGCAACGTTGGCCTTGGTGTGAAGGCATACATTGTGTACCCTCCCTCCCTCCCTCTCACCCTTCCTCCCTCCTACCCTCCCAACCTCCCTCCC